CTTAAGCCAGTGCCCCTTAAGTTTTTAGATCACAGTCACACACATATATGGGCTTCCCTGGTGGCTCAGATGGTAAAGAATCTGCCTGCAATGAGGGAGACCTCTGTTCGATCTCTGGGTTGGGAAGATCCCCTGGAGTAGGGCATGACAACCCACTCCAGTATTCTTACCCAGAGAATCCCCGTGGACAGAAGAGCCTGGCTACAGTCCACGGGGTTGCAAAGAGTCGGACACAACTGAGTGACTAAGCACAGCACAGCACACGCATATACACAACATAGGTATAATACATATTTTAAAAATCCACAAAACAGACTTACCATAAGACCATATCACATACTCGTTTTTCACTCTATTCCATTTTATTCCATTATTCTAGCTATTGTCATTAAATTATCTGGTCATGACACTCTAAATCTGGGGTTCCCAAACCCCAGTCCATGGAATGCTACCAGTCCAAGGCCTGTTAAGAACTGGGCCACACAGCAGGAGATGGGGGGGCAGGCAAGTGAGCAAGCCTCATCTATGTTTACAACTGCTCCTCATTGCTCACCTTACTGCCTGAGGTCCATCTCCTGTCAGATCAGCACAGAATTAGATTCTCATAAGAGTGCAAACCCTACTGCACTTGAACCATCCCCAAACTACTCCCCCTACCCCGTCCTTGGAAAAATTTTTTTCCATGACACCAGTTTAGTTCAGTCACTCAGTTGTGTCCGACTCTTTGTGAACCCATGAATTGCAGCACGCCAGGCCTCCCTGTCTATCACCAACTCCCAGAGTTGACTCAAACTCATGCCCGTCAAGTCGGTGATGCCATCCAGCCGTCTCATCCTCAGTCGTCCCCTCCTCCTCCTGCCCCCAATCCCTCCCAGCATCAGGGCCTTTTCCAGTGAGTCAACTCTTCACATGAGGTGGCCAAAGTACTGGAGTTTCAGCTTCAGCATCAGTCCTTCCAACGAGCACCCAGGACTGATCTCCTTCAGGATGGACTGGTTGGGTCTCCTTGCAGTCCAAGGGACCCTCAACCAGTACTTGGTGCCAAAAAGATTGGGGACTGCTGCTCTAAATTAATTAATTTCTTGGCCCATAAACAGATAAAATCCTCCATTTTAAAATATGGCCCTAGGGAATAGGCTTCTAAGCATGACATGTTACAAAGGCCCTGAATTAAAAGCATGAAAAAACTTTACTGGAACAAACGCAATAGTCACAGCAGTACTTTCTCCTTACTGTAAATCATGAGGCAAGTGTTAGAGAAATGCAGAAAAGATTAAAAAGGATCTATGAAGTTAGAACCAATATTTCACACCCATCTCGAGAGCTTGATAGCTCATATAATACACAATAGGTTCAAATTAAAGTTTAAGACTTAGAGATCTATGTAACTATTTTTCTTTCTAAATTTTTAGAAGACCTTCCTATTGTAATTAGATTTTAGACCGGTACACAAAATGCAGAGATGATTTTATCTTACAAATACCAGAGAGAAACCCCTGGGACTGAATGTGGATCCGTGATGTGAGCACCCAGGAGGCCCTGAGCCCCACAGCAGCACTGGCTCTGCAGCTGCAAGGACAGAACTGCTTAACTCCTCATGATTTGCATGCTTTCTCCAGAGTCCATTTCTGCTCTTCAGGATCCTCATAAATAGGCTGCTAAGGGATTCTGGGCAAGAATAAAGAACCTCAGGCAGGACCTGGATGAAACATGGGTGTCCTGACTCAGCTCTCCTGCCTTCTGTTCTTCTGGTTCCCAGGTGAGAAGGGGTATGCAGGGGATACCCCCTGGAGATGACGGGCCTTCTTCCCTGCTAACTGGGAAATCCTGCCCAGGGTCTCTGTGGATCTCTGACCCCCAATCCCTTCTTGGAGACCCCAGTGCAGCTAAACTCTGCTAGAGGCAACTGGCATGGGATTTGTTAACCATGGTGACTTTATGTTTTGCTTCCTTCTCAGCTGCGAGTGGGAAAGCTGTGCTCCACCAGACTCCAGCCTACATCGCTGTGCCCCTAGGAGAGAGCATCTCCATCACTTGCAGGGCCAATCAGAGCATTAGTGATTACTTAAGCTGGTATAAGCAGAAACCTGGCCAGGCTCCTAGTATTCTCATCTATGATGCTGATAACCAATATAGTGGTGTCCCAGGGAGGTTCACTGCGACTCAATCTGAGACAGAATTTGTTTTCATGATCAGCAAGGTAGAGGCTGATGATGCTGCCATGTATTACTGCCAGCAGGATCATGTACTTCCTCACACGGTGTTACAGCCCCGAACATAAACCTTCCTCCCAGGTCAGTTATGTGCTGAGAGTTGGTGGTTACAGCAGCTGCACTGTGCCACGTGGTCTGTTCAGAGCTGCAGGGTTTACTTTGAGGAAGGGTTTGCAGGGTGCAAGGATAATCCTTGCAAGGGACTTCAGTCCTTTGAAACCTTCCTTTCTGGGCAACACAAAACCCTCCAACCTGTATTTAATTTATTCTGAAAAGAGATTTCCATTTCAGGCCTGCAGAGGAGTTTGTCCACAACATGGTCTTTTCACAGTGTGTAAAAAGTTTGTTATTATCTTTTTACTGAGGTATAGTTGTGTGATATGTGTTTCTGGTGTACAACATAGATTCACAATTTTTTAAAGTTATATTCATTTATGTGAAAATCTCTCAGTTGTGTCTGACTCTTTGTGACCCCATGAACTATAGCCCTCCAGGCTCCTCTGTCCATGAAATTCTCCAGCAAGAATACAGGAGTGGGTTGCCATGCCCTCCTCCATGAGTCTTCCAGACAGAGAGATTGAACCTGAGTACCCTGCTTTGCAGGCAGATTATTTACAGTCTGAACCACCAGGGAAGCTCTACATTCATTTATACTTATTATAAAATATTGGCTATTTTCCCTGTGTTGCACAATATATCCTTGTAACTTATTTTTTTAAGTTTTTATTTTGTATTGGGGAATAATCAATTAAGAGTGTTATGATAGTTTCATGTGAACAGCGAAGAAACTCAGCCATACACATACACGTATCCATTCTCCCCCAAACTCCCCTCCCATCCAGGCTGCCACATAACATTAAGCAGAGTTCCATCATGGCACAGTCTTTGAATCTTTTCTCTGAAAAGCACTCTGAGAAGTATTTTTAAAGACAGAAAACTAGACCAACAAAAAGAACCCATATTCAAGGAATATGACTATTTCTACTACTGTTACAATTACAAATTCAAGGAAATATGACTATTCCTACTACTGATACTATTACTAATACTACTACTACTAACAATAATAAACACAAACAATAACCACATGGCCAATTGCCACTTAATGAACTCTTCAGTCAGTTCAGTTGCTCAATTGTGTCCAACTCTTTGCGACCCCAAGGACTGCAGCACGCCAGGCCTCCCTGTTTGTCACCAATTCCCGGAGCTTACTCAAACTCATGCACATTGAGTTGGTGATGCCATCTAACCATCTCATCCTCTGTCGTCCCCTTCTCCTCCCGCCTTCAATCCTTCCCAGCATCAGGGTCTTTTCAAATGAGTCAGTTCTTTGCATCAAGTGGCCAAAGTATTGGAGTTTCAGCTTCAGCATCAGTCTTTCCAATGAACATTCAGGACTGATTTCCTTTAGGATGGACTGGTTGGATTTCCTTGCAGTCTGAGGGATTCTCAAGAGTCTTCTCCAAAACCACAGTTCAAAAGCAACAATTCTTTGGCACTCAGCTTTCTTTATAGTCCAACTCTCACATCCCTACATGACTACTGGAAAAACCATAGCTTTAACTAGACAAACCTTTGTTGGCAAAGTAATGTCTCTGCTTTTTAATATACTGTCGAGGTTTGTCATGGCTTTCTTTCAAGTAGCAAGTGTCTTTTAATTTCATGGCTGTAGTCACCATCTTTAGTGATTTTGGAGCCCCCCCAAAATAAAGTCTATCACTGTTTCCATTGTTTCCCCATCTATTTGTCATGGAGTGATGGGACCAGATGCCATAATCTTAGTTTTCTGAATATTGGTTTTTTTTAAGTATGAAAACTTTTATTCAATGAAATTAAGTGGTGAGGGAAAAAGAAAAATGTTACAAGCAATTTCAGGGAGAATTCAAAGAACAGACACATATACAGGCCATCAAGAAATATTGAGATCAATCAGCTGAAATGGTGCAAAATTGGTCAAAGGCCAGAAATAATCATGAACAATCACCAAACCAGGCAGTCACATACATTTCTGGCATTGTTCTAAGGCTTTACACTGTTGAAAATCAGCTTAATGACAATCAATAACAGTGAACACTTGTGTGGGCCACCACTAGGAACACCCTGTGATTATATTATTCTCATTTTCAATGATGTTCCCATCGAAAAAGGCTGAGGAGTTTGTTGTTGTTGTTCAGTTGCTAAGTCGTGTCCAACTCCTTGAGAACCCATGGACTGCAGCATGCCAGGTTTCTAGAGGAAATCTATCAGAAGGAGTTAATCGCCAGAGCATAATGTCCAATAAATTGTTCCCCAAATGGGTTCTTGGTGGTACGAAGACTTCATTCTCCAATCCAATTCTTTCTGTACCAAAGAGAATATTAGAAAAATAAATGGTTACAAAGGAAATTGTTTCTCTGAGGTAGAAAACGTTCTCAAACGTAGATATGAACCTCGATTTAAGACGTAGGCTACAAATTATGTTCACACTAACAGGAAACAATGGATGATAGAGGTCACGGGCTCTGACTACAGGTCCAGAGCGCTTTAAAGGACACAGGAAGAATGTCAACGTTTGCTGATAGAGACTCGCTTATTAAAAGCTTATCTATGATGTGCATTTCCCACCCAGGTTACAAACCAAACAATTACCACCACACTTGCGTCAGTTGCTATTGCCCATTAAAATGAAACAGAGTGATACAGTACACGATGTACATAAATATAATATGTACCTACATATATATACATACAAGCACATACATATATGAATACATATTTTACATTTTTCAGCCAGGACTGAGAACACCAAAGAAGAAAAAGATGTGAACCTAAATTATTCAGATACTAAATATGGTTATTTGAGTGACAATTTCCATCTGTGTTCTGGGCTGTGTTTACTTTCTCTGTGTCAAGTGAGGGTTTGCGGCCCCCGTTGAGAGTGTGGGCCAGGCCCTCCTGGGCTGAGAAGGCTTGGAGGCTGAAGGCCGGTTCCGGTGGAGGTCTGGGCGCTGGGCTTCACTCCAGCTTTCTGGGCTTCCCTCCGGCCGACTCCTGGCGGGGCCCCGGTGGCCTCTCACTCTAGGGCAGCAGGCCAAACAGCTCAGGCAGGAAATCCTGCAGGGAATCCAAGACAAGGGTGGCCTTGGTGGTCAGGTCTCGGTTTAGGTTTCTGTCCGGGACCATGACCATCTGCACCCAGCAGCGAGGGCCGCGTCCACCCCGTTGGGCGCATCTTCGAGAACCAGGCACTTGTCCGCGGGAGGAGCGGAAGAAAACAGGCCCGCACAGGCCAGGAAGATGTCCGGCTCGGGCTTCCAGATCTTCACCTCGGGATCGTCGCCCAGCACGATGTGACGGAAGAGGCTGAAGAAGTCCTCGTGCCTGCTGGTCTTCATCTGGAAGGACGCGGTCCCTGAGCTGGTGGCCACGGCGCACGGCATGTCGTGCTTCCGCAGGAGCCGGATCAGCTTCTCCATGAGAGCGGCCGCGGGGAAGACCTTCAGCTTCGCCTGGCTGACCTCCACCAGCTCCTCTTTGGACATTGGGAGCTGAACGGGGTCTATGATGACCTGGGCTGCCTCCAGCGCCTTGTTGACCATCACCAGGGACTTCACATCCCAGCTGTACTTCTTCCCGTAGCAACTGCAGATTTCCTCACACATGGGGAGTAGAACCGCTTCGTATCCAGAAGGAGGCCGTCCATGTTAAAAAGCGGTGCATGACGGGATGCAGAGGGAGTGCGGGCTCTGCCGCCATTGTGGGCGACAGGGGATTTTCAGTTTTAAGCCAACTTTTTCACTCTCCTCTTTCACTTTCATCAAGAGGCTCTTTAGGTCTTCTTCGCTTTCTGCCATAAGGGTGGTATCAAATGCATTTCTGAGTTTATTGATATTTATCATGGCAATCTTGATTCCAGTTTGTGCTTCATCCAGCCCAGCATTTCGCATGATTCACTCTGCCTATAAGTTAAATAACCAGGGTGACAATATACAGCCTTGACGTACTCCTTTTCCTATTTGGAACCAGTCTGTTGTTCCATGTCCAGTTCTAACTGTTGACCTGAATACAGATTTCTCAGGAGGCAGGTCAGGTGGTCTGGTATTCCTATCAGTTTTCCACAGTGTGTTGTGACTCACACAGTCAAAAGCTTTGGCATAGTCAGTAAAGCAGAGTAGATGTTTTTCTGGAACTCTCTTGCTTTTTTGGATGATCCAATGGATGTTGGCAATTTGATCTCTGGTTCCTCTGCCTTTTCTAAATCCAGCTTGAACATCTAGAAGTCCACCGTTCACCTACTGTTGAAGCCTGGCTTGGAGAATTTTGAGCATTACTTTACTAGCGTGTGCTGTTGCTGCTGCTAAGTTGCTGCTAAGTCGTGTCCCACTCTGTGCGACCCCATAGACAGCAGCCCACCAGGCTCCGCCATCCCTGGGATTCTCAAGGCAAGAACACAGGAGTGGGTTGCCATTTCCTTTTCCAGTGCATGAAAGTGAAAAGTGAAAGTGAAGTCTCTCAGTCATGTCCGACTCCCTGCGATCCCATGGACTGCAGCCTACCAGGCTCCTCTGTCCATGGGATGAGTGCAATTGTGTGGCAGTTTGAACCTTTTTTGGCATTGCCTTCTTTGAGATTGGAATGAAAACACTTTTTCCAGCCTTGTAGCCACTGCTGAGTTTTCCAGATTTGCTGTCATATTGGGTGCAGCACTTTCACAGCATCATCTTTTAAGATTTAAAATAGATCAACTGGAATTCCATCACCGCCACTAGCTTTGTTCATAGTGATGCTTCCTATGGCCCATTTGACTTTGTATTCCAAGATGTCTGGCTCTAGGTGAGTGATCACACCATCGTGATTATCTGGGTCATGAAGATCTATTTTGTATAGTTCATCTGTGTATTTTTGCCACCTCTTCTTAATACCCTCTGCTTCTGTTAGGTCCATACAATTTCTGTCCTTTATTGTGCCCATCTGTGCATGAAATGTTCCCTTGGAATCTCTAATTTTCTTGAATAAATCGCTAGTCTTTCCCATTCTATTGTTTTCCTCTATTTCTTTGCACTGATCACTGAGAAAGGCTTTCTTATCTCTCCTTGCTATTCTTTGGAACTCTGCATTCAAATGGGTATATCTTTCCTTTTCTCCTTTGCCTTTAGCTTCTCTTCTTTTCACAGCTATTTGTAAGACCTCATCAGACAACCATTTTGCCTTTTTGTATTTATTTTTCTTAGGGATGATCTTGATCACTGCCTCCTATACAATGTCACAAACCTCCATCCATAGTTCTTCAGGCACTCTGTCTATCAGATCTAATGCCTTGAATCTATTTGTCACTTCTACTGTATAATCATAAGGAATATGATTTAGATCATACCTGAATGGTCTAGTGGTTCTGCCTACTTCCTTCCATTTAAGTCTGAATTTGACAATGAGGAGTTCATGATCTGTGCTACAGTCAGCTCCCTGTCTTGTTTTTGTTGACAATATAGAACTTCTCCATCTTTGGCAGCAAAGAATATAATCAATCTGACTTCAATCCAATCTGATTTAATAATTCAACTATAAGTGAATAAAAAAATAGATTTACAAAAATTAAAACTCAGGCATGTAGAGAAGATAAATAATATTAATATATGCAAATAGACTTTGAATTTTAAAAAATCTATTGGACAAAGAATAAATAGTCCTTTCATCATCAAAAATTTCAGAAGTAAATCTGACATGCTACTTCCTTTTTCCATCATGATAAATACAGAGTATTTAAATAAAAGTGTTACTCCACCTGCTTACTGTGCCTCAACCACTATTTGAGGGTTAAACACTCTTTCCTCTTACTCTAGATCTTTCCTCTGCATCCCATTACCACCTAGTATATGACTCAAGACCTCATTTTGTCATAAAGACATTTTGAATGGAGAAAGCAAGACTGCTCTAGAGAAGACAGATATTCCTCAATGATCACTTGCACTTCTGTAAATATTTTAGCTGACTTTCCACCCATAGTACTCACTAACAATAAGACAATAGCAATATCACAGGTCAAACTTCCACAGCTTCCAGTGTTATACCTCAGTCAATGTCCTCTACCGTATCTCAAATAGAAGTTTTAAGATTTTTTTATGTGAACCATTTTTAAAGTCTTTAGTGAATTTGTTACAATATTGCTTTTATTTATTAAGTTTTGGTTTTCTGTCTGCAAGGCATGTGGGATCTTAACTCCCCAGTCAGGGAGCAAACCCACAGGCCCTACACTGGCAGACAAAGTCTTAACCACTGGACCTTCAGGGAATTTCATCAAACAAAAGTTTTGACAGTCATAGAAATAATTACTGAAGGATTTTGTTCATAATTTTTAAAATGTGGGCAAGCCTCATGCAATGCAGGGATTCCTAAGCCAGGACCCTCACATTTTTGGATTATCGAAACACATATTTACATGTGTGGCTTCCCTGGTGGCTCAGACAGTAAAGCATCTGTCTGCAATGCAGGAGACCCGGGTTTGATCCCTGGGTTGGCAAGATGCCCTGGAGAAGGAAATGGCAGCGCACTCCAGTACTCTTGCCTGGAAAATCCCATGGACGGAGGAACCTGGTAGGCTACAGTCCATGGGGTTGCAAAGAGTTGGACACGACTGAGCGACTTCACTTCACGTCAATAAATATAGTATATATAAGACACACAAATAATATGAAGTAATACTACTAGCCCATATGACATACCCTGTAATTTTTATTCTGCCAGAATAGTGTCCGGGACATTGGATTAATAACAGCTCTCTGTGGACCAAGCTATAATTTCTAAATGGAAGAAGTTTCATTTAAAATTTGAGTAGTATTTAATAAAACTGTTTCCTTGTATTGTAGAGAAAGGCTGAGAAAGCAACAGAGTTTAGCTACTTTAGGGAAAAGAGCAGATTTATAGGAAATAAGAATCAGAACTAGAGAATGTAACCTAAAGAGTTGCTCAGTCTGTACCGGGGAACATCCTTGGACCAAGCTCTCTCTACCACTTATGCACAATTCTCAGGAATACAAGTGTACCCAAACTGAATTATATTTAGATCAAGAGTAGAACATACCTTTCCCAAAGTACTAAGGACAGAACAAACTGAGTGTGGGTGAGATGGATGCTTTGGGCAGAATGGAGTGGTGTAGAGAAGAGAGAATAAGCCAAGGAAAAGTTGACTCCTGCACAGACAGAACCATCATCTGTCTTCGTGGATATGGTATCAGTACAGTACACTGGGGGCAGGATTAGGGGGTGAGCTAAATCCTGCTAATATGTGAAGCTGTGGTCATTCTTCCAACTGTGTTTCCTGGCCTAACTTGTTGTTACTCTTTTCTAATTCTAAAAAAGAATAAGATGATTTCTTGGGAAATGCCCATGAGAAGTATCACTAAGCAGCAAATTAATGCTGTATCTGGAAGATAAAATTCTGATAAACTCCTCAATCCATTTTGATTCAATCATTCACCAAGGGCGATAACTAGGGACACTGCTGCTATAAAGAGGAAAAGAGAATCACAAGCATTGATTTTGTTTCCAGCAGGCTTATAGCAAACACCATCTGTCTGAATCTAGGTGAATAATGAAGTAGGAGGATGCAGGAAGAAAATTCTGTGACCAGAGGAGACAAATGCATCTCTCAGACTAAGTCAGAATAAGACTTTTCTGACTTGACCACCTGGGGCTGAACTGCTCAAGCAGAGAGAAGAGAAGGCATGTGGTTTCTGCAGCTGGAAGCCCAGCTCTCCCACCCCAGCTGTTCCTCCCGGCCCACCCTGATGCCCAGAGCCCATATCTACGCAGGTTGGAGCTCTGGGAAGGTCTGCCTCTGTCAGGACACAGAATGGACCATGGAGGCCCCAGCTCAACTTCTCTGCCTCCTATTCCTCTGGATCCCAGGTGAGAGAAACATGGGATGGTTCTGCATGTCAGTGAAAACTGTGTTCATGCACCTGGGTCTTGCACCTTTCCTCAGCAAGCACAATAATTAAAGCTCAAGGTCCCCGGTCCAGTTGGGAGGACAACGGGTATGATCTGAATTACTGAATTTTCCTTTTATTTCCAATCTCAGATACCATGGGAGAAATTGTGCTGACACAGTCTCCAGCCTCCCTGGCTTTGACTCCAGGAGAAGCAGCCACCCTCACCTGTGGCGCCAGTCAGAGTATTAGCAGCTACTTAGACTGGTACCAGCAGAAACCTGGGCAGGTCCCCAGGCTCCTCATCTATACTGCAACCAACAGGGCCTCTGGCATCCCAGCTCAGTTCAATGACAGTTGGGTCATGGACATCCTTTACTCTCACCATCAGCAGCCTGGAGCCTGAAGATGTTGCAGTTTATTATTGCTATCAGTACAGCAGTGGGTACCACAGTGATTCAAGGTTGAACAAAAACCTCCACAACACTTTGAGGGCTTTTCATTCTACCAGCTGTTTCCTTTTCAAGCAGCTGCTGTGGTGTCTGCTCAGTTTTAGCATCTCTATCTCTATTTAGAAATCTTAATGTCCTGAAAAGTAACTCCAGGACAAGATTAGCACCCTGATCCCCGTAGCCAGGTTTAAGCACAATTTCATGCCAGTGGCATTGGATTGCAAGAATACTGGTGTGGATTGCCATGCCCTCCTCCAGGGGATCTTCCCAACTCAGGGATCGAATCCAGGTCTCCTGCATTGCAGGCAGATACATTACCATCTAAGCCA